ATTTTTCTTTTAATTTTGCCGTGTGCAGTTTTAGTTTTTCTCAATTTAACTTTGTTGATTATTTCTTGTAGTGTGTATTTATTTCTTGGAACAAGAAAACCTTAACAAATCAAAGGCCTAACAGAGTAAAGCCAAAAGATGGGGTTTGAGTGGCAGTGTTCTGTCTCACTTACAAGGGCCTCTTCAATGCTCAGCGCAGAGATGGAGAAAATCTTCCTCTCACAAGGTTCATAGTAATTATAACTTTGTGAACTTATATTTAATTATCCCCCAAGACTAGGACCACTATGACCCAGGAGGCAATTTAATTGCAAAATAAGAAAAATGTCTATCCATTTAAATGATCCCAGATGAAATGGAGGTGGTGAGCTTTGCTCTAGCATTCAAAGAAATATGGATGAGATTGTGTCAGAGATTTCATTAGATTGTCTAGTCTTTTAATAGTCTATATAAACAATATTCTGTTTATCAATATATATTTCATTTCATTCCTAATTATAGTTTAAGGGCAGACAGGGGTTTTTCCTCTCTTTTTAGCTTTATCTTTCTAAATTGTAGAGAGCTGATTGATGTAATTCATTTTGTTTTTTTAGGTCTTTCATGATAGTTCCATATTTTCTTTCTTGTCCTATTCTGTTTTTTCTTAACCCAAACTGTTAGGGCCCCTCCCTGCTGGGTCTGAGAACACCCCACCTCTACCTCTCTCTCTCTTGGATCCTTTGTCCTTGTCCTTCATAATTCCTCAGCTTCCAGCAGTTCTGAGAAGCCTGCTTCCCTCGGATCATCCAGATGTTGAACAAATGGCACTGGTTCATCTGAATGACTGATTTTTTAAAAAGTTCTATCCTATTTGTATTGATGATACACAGACAGACCAATAAAATATCCTTTGCCAAAATTACACAAAGAGTTTCTTGTGGCTTAAATGACACAAAAGATGCAATTTTTCTCGAAGGGCTGCCCAAATACATGATGAGAATTTAAAACCTATCTTTGTAAACATTAGAATACTTACATGACACTAATTAGCCAAGTACTCCACAGGTGTGAGAGGTTTAACTTGCTATAAAAGTTTAGGAAATCAAGATCCATATGGATTTCTGTTATTAAAGAGTGTTTAATGTAGGTAGAAACATTATTAATAATTAGGAGGCTTTGGAGATTGTGCTGTCTAGATAAATAGGGTTTTTTGTTTTGTTTTGTTTTGTTTTTAGAAATCTTACCAGTATCTTGACTGAAAATTTCTGTGACTTTTTAAGAGATTTTAATTATTATTTAATTTATCTATTATTTAAGTTTCTATCTGGGATTTGAGGTATGTGGTCATCACGTATTACACAAAAATCTTCATTTTGTAAGAGAAATTTTTGAAAATCTAGATTATAAAGAAGAAAATTGAGAAATTCTGTGTCTAAATCTGTGTTCCAAAGAAAGTGAAATCTAAGTTTCCTGGGAAAGCTCAAGGAACAAAAGTGAAGAGAAATTCCAGACAATATGAGATTCATTCATTCCTTTCACAAATCTTGACTAGTCTTGGGCTATGCTAGTTACTAAGGAGGCAGAAGTGGATGAGATAGAGAGATGTAGCCCAGATGTCTTGTGATCTCTTAGCGGGGAAAACCTCCACGTTCTGCCCCACCACATTCCCATCTCATATTTATAATATCATTTTATCCCTAGCTCTATCCTGCATGCAAATCTTATTTTGTCCTGAAAGAGCAAGTGGAGTGACTTAGCAGAAGGGAAATGGATCTAATGATCTCTGAGTGTTATTTCCGGCCTGAGAAACCCACACTGCTTGGCAACCCTCCGGGAGCCAGAAATCTTGGAGAGCTGACCATTTTCCCTGGGTTTTCTCCATGTTTATCCTTCAACTGGGGCTGTTCCCTGGCAAAGCTTTCCATTGACAGTCACCATTTAATAATGCTTTCTTTCTCTAAGATTGCTCACTTTAAAAAATGGATCTGAAAACTCATAGGAGGGATTATTCTCGCATTACATGTATATATTTTCCCTCGAAGGTGGTAACATATGGAACAATAATTATAGCAAGATTTTCCTCTGTCATTACCATATTTAACAATTTTTTTTACACATAGAATATTCATTTTTTAAAATCCTTGGCCAAAACTCAATGTTTTCCTTTTAAACGAGTGAACCTTTGCTGAGTTTCCTCGCACTGCATAACATAGGCTTAGCTAATCAGCCTCACCCAGCTTGTATATCATAATAAAACATTTCTCAGAACAGCTCAATCTGGTGGCAATGATGTTGAAGCTATTGAATTTAATGGACCCATTTCCGATTGACCCTTTCATGCTACGGTTTGGTGTCCATGACACTAATTATCTTTGTCCTTCTCCGCCTCCTTCTCCTCTCTTTTCTTTTTTCCTTCAACCTCCTTCCTCTTCATTCTCCTTTTCTTCTTCTCTTCCTTTTCCCTGTTTCCTCTTCCTTTCTCTTTTCATCCTTGTCTCTCTGCTAAGACACCTAGCAGGCTGCCATTGCATCCTTGCTAATGAGTGTCTTCAGCCCATAAACCAGGACAGACAATGTGAATTCCCTCTTTTTCTCTAAGAGCCTGAATTTGGGTCAACTGTCCTTAAGAGATGAAATGTCTCTCCACAGGAGGTTAGGGTCAAAGGCAAGAATTCACCACCCTCCCTCTAAATTTAGTCGTGCTTCAATTTCTAGCAAATCTTTTACTTAACACTCCGAATGGATTGGCCTTCTCAAATTCTGCATCTCTGACTTGTCTTTTCTGTTCTGGAGGCCCTGTTTTTCACTGCAAGATTCATCAACTTCCAAGTGAGTAAAATTTAATCTCTCTTGAGAAGAAAGGGGGAAAGCATCTCTTGGGTTTGATTCTCTATCACATGAAAGACAGTGTAAGAAATTTCACATAGATTTTCTCCTTTAATCCTAACAGCAGCCCAGAGATGTGAGTCTTATTTCTTTTCTAAGGTGAGAAAACTGAAAAGTTCATAGAGTTGTAGACATTTAGCTATTTCTGTTTGGACTTGCAAAAGGATACTATATTGATGCCAAAGCAAATTTTCTTCTAAATAAATTTCTTCCCAACCAGTTTGCATGGTACTTACGGAGGGAAATTTCTTTTCTTTCTTCTGCAGGGTGGTCTCAAACTTCTGGGCTCAAACAATTCTCTTGCCTTCGCCTCCCAAATAGCTATGAGTATAGATTTGTGGCTCTGTGACCAGGAATATTTTTTGTTT